TCTGTCTACCCAACCCCTCAATATACCCTTTAAATACCTACCCCAACCCCCCAAAATACCCTCTATCTACCCAACCCCTCAAAATGCCATCCAAGTCAGCTGACGCGATCAGCTGACTTGACCCGCTGAGATGAGGCACGAGAGGGAGAGGTTCAGAGGCAGCGGAAGAGAGGATGAGGGAGAGGGAGAAGAGACGGGGGGATGGGAGGAATGAGGGAGGGAGGGAGGGAGGGAGGGAGGGGAGAGAGGGAGGGAGGGAGAGGGAGAGGGAGACTAAAGAGAGAGAGAGAGAGAGAGAGAGAGAGAGAGAGAGAGAGAGAGAGAGAGAGAGAGAGAGAGAGAGAGAGAGAGAGAGAGAGAGAGAGAGAGAGAGAGAGAGAGAGGGGGGGGAGAGGGGGGGGGAGGGGGAGGGAGAGGGAGAGAGAGAGGGAGGGAGAGGGAGAGAGAGAGAAACAGAGAAGAGAGAGAGAAACAGAGAAGAGAGAGAGAAACAGAGGAGAGAGAGAAACAGAGAAGAGAGAGACAAAGAGAGAGAGAGAAGAGAGACAGACAGACAGACAGACAGACAGAGAAGAGAGAGAGAGAGAGAGGCAGACAGAAGAGAGAGAGAGAGACAGACAGAGAAGAGAGACAGACAGGTAGACAGAGAAGAGAGAGAGGCAGACAGACAGAGAAGAGAGACAGACAGACAGACAGAGAAGAGAGAGAGAGTCAGAGAAGAGAGACAGACAGACAGAGAAGAGAGAGCGACTGACTGAGAAGAAAGAGAGACTGACTGAGAAGAGAGACAGACAGACAAAGAGAAGAGAGACACACAGACAGAGAAGAGAGAGAGACAGGCAGACGGAGATGAGAGAGAGGCAGACAGACAGAGAAGAGAGAGGGAGACAGACAGGCTAAGAGAGAGAGACAGACAGACAGGGAAGAGAGAGAGAGAGACAGACGGGGAAGAGAGACAGACAGAGAAGAGAGTCAGACAGAGAAGAGAGACAGACAGACAGACAGACAGACAGAGAAGAGAAAGAGAGTCAGAGAAGAGAAAGAGAGTCAGAGAAGAGAGAGAGTGACTGAGAAGAGAGAGAGAGTGACTGAGAAGAGAGAGAGACTGACTGAGAAGAGAGAGAGACTGACTGAGAAGAGAGAGAGACTGACTGAGAAGAGAGAGAGAGTGACTGAGAAGAGAGAGAGAGTGACTGAGAAGAGAGAGAGAGTGACTGAGAAGAGAGAGAGAGTGACTGAGAAGAGAGAGAGACTGACTGAGAAGAGAGAGAGACTGACTGAGAAGAGAGAGAGACTGACTGAGAAGACAGAGAGACTGACTGAGAAGACAGAGAGACTGACTGAGAAGAGAGAGAGACTGACTGAGAAGAGAGAGAGACTGACTGAGAAGAGAGAGAGACTGACTGAGAAGAGAGAGAGACTGACTGAGAAGAGAGAGAGACTGACTGAGAAGAGAGAGAGACTGACTGAGAAGAGAGAGACAGAGAGGAGAGAGGAGAGAGGAGAGAGGAGAGAGAGAGAAAGAGAATAGAAAGACCAACAGAAAAAAAGAAAAAGAGAAAAAACACGAAAGAGAAATCAAATACAAATAAAGAAAGGCAAAAAAATAAAAAACAGAAAGAGCGACGAGGGAGAAGGGGAGGTGACATGGCCTTACAGGTGCCACGGGTCACACGCGGGCGCCTGCAGAGTGCCACCGACGCCCACGCACCCTCAGTGGCACTCATAGAAGGAATGGCACAAAAATAATTTAATATACCTATAAAGTCTCTGCTATATTTTCAGGGGACGCGGTAAAAAAAATGGAGGGGAGGAAGGTTAAAGAAAGAAAAAAAAATGAACGGACATGAATTATTTCACAAAGAAACAGACGAACAAGAACTTAGCTGAGACAGGTAGACAGACAGACAAACGGACGGACAGAGACAGACAAAGAGTCAGACACGAACATGCAGACAGCCACGCAGACACAGACAACCCAACATCACTCAGCCACACAGACAACCAGCCTCCCTTGGGCACACAGGACCCCGGTTCACAGGGCAGGATCCTTCAAGACAGAAGCTCCTTCACGCCCTAACACTGGACACTATCCCTCCCTCCCTCTCTCCCTCTCTCCCTCCCTCCTTCCCTCTACCCCTTTTCCCTCTTTCGATGTCTGGCTGTCTGTGTCTGTTTCTCCCTCCTCCCTATTCTCTCCATATTTCCTCCTCCTCCTCCCCTCTCCCCATTCATCTTTACTCGTTCAACCTTTCTCTCTTTTCCCCTCCCTCCCCTTCCCTCGCCTCCTCTTCACGTCCTCTCTCCCTATCCCTCTTTACCCGTTCTCCCTTTTATCTTTTCCCCTTCCTCATCTCCTCTTCACTCCCTCTCTCTCCCCTCTCCCTCATCCCCTGCCCCCCACCCTTTTCACACCCTCTCCCCCTCATCCCCTTCTCTTCGCCCTGCTATGCAAATGCTCCTCCGTCTCGCAATCGTGTCTCTTGTTGTTGACGTTGTT